TGACTCTGAGAAGCTCCCATTTCAGTGCCAAAGCCCCTGCGGACTCCAAATTCCTGAAAAACTTCCTGTGGAATCCGACACCCCATTTTTATGGGGCGGTCCTTGAAGACATTCCACCTTTTAGTAGCCTTGGGACGCACCAGCGGCGTTGCCTACATCACAGTGCAGGCTTCCCTTGGCAATCATGGAGGAGGAAGGGTCTAGGGCTTAGGGCTGAGGGCTTATGGCTGAGGTTTTAGGTCTTAGGGTTTAGGGGTGAGGGCTTAGGGTGGAGCGTTAAGGGTTCTTTCAACTGAGGGGCTTTTTGCTCGGGATCCCTTCAGACAAGTTTATAGCAAAAGGAGGGTGTCGATCAGTATGGTTTTACGCAAGCATACGCCGTACATATATACGTATATACACACAGCAAGATTTATGTATGTATCTATATAAATAGGTGTGTATACTTTCCTATAAGCCCTTTAACCACCTTGGGAGGGACCATTTTCTATAGCCGACGTCAACGTCGAATTCACTTTCCTGCTCCTTTCGCGTGCCCGCGGGCACAGTACGTGTTCCTCACTTTTTGCTAGCATTCACCATTTCTCATGCCACAAGACGCGAGATGCGGACTATGTGTTGGTTCTACATACCGCATTGCTCATATTCATGAGGAAGGGGCGTGAATGCTGCGGAAAGAACTATTTCGATCAGTTTTTGTCAGGCGCTGATTTCATTTCAAGCAGCGGATGACGCCCTCTGGAAATGGGTGCGACATGCCGAAATCATGAGCCATCTGTTGAGCTGTCAACTGCGGAGGCAGATGTTTCCTGTGAAAATATGCGCCAGCTGCCTCGGAGAGCAACCAAAAAATTCTTGGCATAATTCGGCTCAATGGCTGTCAATGATTGGGGTTTTGGGGTGGCTTAAAGGGATGAGGGTTACTGTACCTGAACCCCGAAAGTCTGTCGAATAATGGCCTCTTAGCTAGTTGCTCTTGGTTTTGTGCTGTCATTGTACCCACTTTTGACCTAAACCCTAAACCTTAAACCTTTTTGGATTGCGACACAGAGTGGTGTCAACCGCAACAGCGCAGTGTTTCCATGTAGGGGGATGTCCCCTATTGCGAGGCGAGCGTACGTTTGGGCCCTAAACCCTAAACCGCCCAAACCCTAAAAGCAAATAATGCGCGTGTGGGGTTCTCAGAACACAGACAGCCCTGAAGACTTTTGAAGCATAAGCTTAGCGGTTCTCATTCTCAGTAGGGAATATCATCCCCATATAACCCCATATGACATTTTCCCATTTTCCCTACTAAGCCTAAACCCTAAGCCCTAAACCCATATTCTCTACTCAGAACCCGTGAGTAAAACGATGGTATGAAGCCCCTGCTAGGAAGGACCCTTCCCACGCTGATTGACATGGAATTCTTCCGAAAAGGACCTCTGTCTGACAACTCTCCGTTTTGGGTTTAGGGGGCTCAACTCCAGTAAAGGAGTGTTTTTGACGTGCATGTGTATATGATGCAGGCCGATGCCCACGTGCAAGTTTCCATGCTTAGGACCGATGCCAGGAGCTCCTCTTGATGGATGCAATCTGTGCACAACCTTGAGCCCCTTAACGCCGTGTTTAGGGTGTAGGGTTAAGGGCACGGCTAAACCCTAGGCCCTGACCCCTAAATCCTGGAAGCGCAGAGCTTTAGGGGTGCTAGGTAGTGCAAGATCTCCGCCATCAGCATTATTCTCAGCGGTCCTCGTAGGGCTTCTGGCTCCAGGCAGCCACCCAGAGCCCCAAGGAGATCCATAATAGTTTAGGGTTTAGGGTAATATTTGGGGGAACTAGATAGGGGTTATACACGTTTTATTATGGGCATGTGCAGGGGCTCTGATTTGAAGATACAACGGCCTTCACTTGGTGGAGGACAATTAGCCATAGATGCAGCTTTATGGCACAGAATCCTTGGATTTTGTGGTGTTCTCAGTTTGCAGAATATTGCGATATGCTGAGGACACTGCGAACACTCTGTTTGAATACTGGCGCGAAAAGTGGAGTTCCTTTCTAGCATGATAGACCAAGATATAATTCCCAATGTACAAGGAATGGCGATCAGGACTCCGCAAGAAAAATCCATAGCCCTCCCCAATTCTCCCTCAAGTGCAACATAATCTCCCAGTATGGGATCCTCATCTATGGAGCCCCGTTAGTAACTTGTCCAACCCCACGAGTGGGGATCCAAAATGCTGAGTTAGATCCAGCCTTGTGCTCAAGTGTATAGGGTTTCGCATTCCGGGTTGCAGCCCTTTAAGAAACAGCTTATCAAACGTCGCTGCCTTGTTATATAATCCTTACTCTGGGATCCCTTTGTGTCCACAAACTATGTCGCCTAAGACTCTCATATGTCAACACATGTAGGCATGTGCGTGTTCGTGTGCGTGTGCGTGTGCGTGTGCGTGTGCGTGTGCGTGTGCGTGTGCGTGCGTGCGTGCGTGGGTGTGGGTGTGTGTGTGTGTGTGTGTGTGTGTGTGTGTGTGGGTGTGTGTGTGTGGGTGTGTGTGTGTGTGTGTTTGTTTGTTTGTTTGTTTGTGTATGGAGTGAGTGAGCGAGTGAGTGAGTGAGTGAATGAGTGACTGAGAGGGTGGGTGGGTGGGTGGGTGACTGAGAAAGAGAGAGAGAGAGAGAGAGAGATATATATATATATGTAGATATATGTGTATATATATACATATATGTATACATATCTATATATCCATGGTCACGCGCTTGCTGGCCCTCCCCCCCAACCCACATGGTCTAGGCCTCCTTCCCCCTCTCCTGTGATTGGTTGTGGTTGGGGGGTTGGGTGGGCCCTCCCTTCCCCCTTGGGTGATGAATACACATGACTTGAGGTCTTCCCCTCCCTCCTGTGGGTGGGTGTGGGCGGTCTCACAAATCGAGGAGTTACCAAGGCCATTCGTAAGTGTATATGGTATGGGCATGAGAGAAGATAATTGCATGGATTGAATGGAATCATCTATATATGTGTAGACATAGAGATGGATTATCATTCCCATACAGTGTTTCTGATGTTTTCAGGGTGTCGTAGAAGGACGCATCAGCTATTCGTGGTGGGATATTCGAAGCCCTTGAATACCAAAATCTACCACAGCCCCACGGATTGTGCCCCAAACTGCCCATCCCTGTAACTGTCGGAATTTTGGGAATCTCGTACAAAGGGTCAGTCTCCAAAAGTGACGACAGTCACGAAAATGGCGCCTTCCAGACACCCAATCCCTGTGACTGTTGGCACTTTTGAGATTGCGAAGGGCCACAGACGACGACGGTCACGGAGATTCCGCGTCTTCACGCCGCTTCAAATCGACGAGCAAAACAGGGGCGTTAGGGGGTCAGGGTGTTCCGCTACCAAGCTCCATGTCCAATACGCGTAGAAAGTTCCCCCCCAAATCTCATCATTATCCCCAGACGAGGACCAAAGAAGAAGTTGCAGATGTCGCTGAAGCAGTTTGGCCTAAAACCCTAAACCCTGCAACTATTAGACCTCGAACCCTGAACCCTATTTGTAAACTCCAAACCCCCCTAACATGCGGAATGGGTTGTGGATTTAGGGTGTTGGGCGTTTTGGGGTTTGGAACCACAAGCGGCGCACAGGGTCACAAGTATGTACCCAATAGCCGAGTGTGCGGGATTTCGGTACCAGCGAATGGGTAGTATAGGATTGAGGCATGCGTATGATGTTGCGCACAAGGATACTGTAGGCGCTATCGTGGTCCTAGATTCAACTATGTAGGATAGCTCAAAAAGACCTGGAATGATATTGATACTTGCTACCTAAACCTTAAATCCCAAGCCCTAGACCCTACGGAAGTCTCATGCCCTCTTTGCGAGATAAACCGCCTTAGCTGAAAAACAAGCAGACCTCTCAGAAAGCTCGGCACTTCCTATGGCAGCACGATTTCCACAACTCAAACTTCTGGAGCTTTTCTCACTCAACCCTAAATGCTCAACGCTCAACCCTACACCTTAAACCTAAACTTTCGTCACAGAGGTCTTATCAGCACAGAAACCCATGCTTGCTCAACCAAAACATGCGGCAGCCATCGAATTCTACATGAGCCATAGTCTAAGCTTCAAGCATCCCCCCCAATAACCCTTATAGTAGTTCCCTATATAGTCCCCTATATAACCCCCTGTAAGGAGTTTAGATTATGGTTCAGATACAATCACGAGATCTCTCATGCTAGACTAGCGACAAGTATCCGTTATGGTCAAAACAGGAACCGTGTTGTTGCCAATCACTTGCGTGTTTAAGAGGCAGAGTAGCTTGCAATTCCGCAAGAAGACGCTGGATTACTTCCTAAGTCCCTATCCGGATGAACATAGGGTGCAGTTTCCAGGCAAGAAGACTTTTAACCGCCTTACTGTGTCATAAGTCTCGACCTGGATGTGCGTTAGTTAGTGTTTGCTCGAATGAGAATCCGTTTCACCTTCTGATAAGCCCTAATTAGGCGTTTGATGAGTGCTCTTTTGCCTCCCATGTACAGAATGTTTTTCTTCTCAGTGGATCGTTGCATACCCCCTGGAGCCCCGAAGGGTACCCGAAGTTCCATGGCTATGAACCATACCTACATTGGGTCCCACAGTTCATAATTCTGACCCACATTGGGCTATTTGGCCCCTTAGGGTATTCTTGTCCTTGAGAAACTAATTATGTTCAAGTGCTTATGGGCGGGGACTGTTGGATTTAATGCTTCTGGCGTAGGCTGTCCAAACCCTGTACAGTTCAGGTTTTAGGGTTACAACATGAAGTAAGGTAGATCCCATACCGCATCCATTCCATACAACAATCATGGTCCTGTACCAGCTACTTCGAGGTTCAGGGTTATAAAAAACCAGCAATCATTGCACTTGAAACATCATAAAACGCTCCCTAAGTCCCCTAATAAGGCTATGAATTGGTTAGAAGTGCCAGTTTTAGGTGGGCTATAATGACCTTGAACCTCCAAATAGACATGTTAGCTGAACAGGTGGTCTTCAACGTGCGTGGCAAGGATTTTGGGTACGGCTACAATGCTGCAACCAAGGCAGACGAAACAGCTGTGTTTTGGGTTTGGCAAACGGAGAACCTAAGCATAAGCTCTTTGGGAGATCCCTACCTAGAAGATGCTTTAAGCAACTTGGCCCTATCTGTCTGTTTGCTTGTGTCCTTGTTTTGGCCCCTAGGCTTTTGTCAACCAATTTAGCTACAGCAGAATTTCGAATGACCTGCCCCTAAGAGCCGCTGATGTCCCTCTTCTGGGATTACAGGCAAGACAATCCCCTGTGGAGTGTATCTTACATGAATTCCATGAATTGGGCTCAGGGTCACAAATAAAGCTTACGTCATTCCTCGTAAGAACCCCATATTCCCCGAAAGTCTCCATATCTCCAAATTTGGGTCAGGGCGTTTAACTCGCCATAGGGGCACAGGTGTCCCTTGGTATACGTGCTGTCGTCCAGAGAATCTGAAATATGCCAGAATCAAAGGTTCCCCCACCAGCCCCTCTTAATTCAGCTTATTTAGGGAAATTTCACTTCCTAAACCCTAAACCCCCAAAATTAGGACCAGTTTAGGATCATGAACGGGGAGCCTGCGCGGGCGGGTACTTGGGGGCGGGGGAACCGTTGAAACAGGGGGCCAACCTCGAACACGCACGCTTCAATAGGGGTTTAAACCCTAAACCCTAAACCCTAAATCCTAAACCCTAAACCCTAAACCGTTTAGGGTTTAGGGGCTTCGGCTCGGGTGAAGTAGAAGTCTGCACGAAGCGTGGCCTTGTGCCTCTGTATCTGGTACAGAAGATGGCGCAGGAAGCAGCAACAATCCCACGCCCTGAAACTCTGAAGTTCTACCGCCTAATCCCTAAACAGCTGGCATATTGTGCAAATCAAGTGAAAGCCCATTAAAGCCACTTGAGATCTGATTAGAATCATGTCAAAATCAATTTACAAATAGGTGCTATCCTGGCGAAAATTTAGGGGGCTGGAAAAATGTGTTAGTATTCTTCCAGCCCCCCCAGAGCAGATGCTTAAAGTGGATCCAGGTCTCTGCTGGATTATCCCCACAAAAATTGACGGCTCGTGCGTTTCCGTGTACTCCCGAGTAAGCGACTGTGTGGAGCTGGCATCTCTTAGTTCCTGAATGTGGGGGGGTTTAGGGTTTAGGGTTGAGGATTTAGGGTTGAGGGTTTAGGGTTAAGGCATCTCAGATATCTGGCCTTACAGGTAAGGCTCTGGTGCTAGAGCTCTGGAACTCAAATCCTTTAAGGCCTGAGGCTCACAGCCTTTTTAGTTTCAGATGTATCCTGGTCTAAGGGAAGAAGCAGTCTCAGAAAGCACCTACAAGCTGTTTCTGTTATGCTTCTCTCAGCTAAAACAAGTCTAAATTCAAGCAATAAATTATGCCATTCGAGTTTTCTTGTTGTCCAGCTTCCATATATTGTACACTCGCTGCACTGCTGTCAAGTCTTTTCGTTGGTAGCTGCTCAGTCCAGCAGACAAATGTGTGGAGAACTGTCTTCTCCCCTCGCCTCCCCTAGCCTAGTAACAACCTGCCCACCCCCTAGAACAGAGACGTGAAAATGGATCTTGCAAACGGCGAAGCAAGCATGCTCAACAGCATGTCAGTTCCCCGACTCTCCGATCCCTATTAGCAACCCCTAAACCTTAAGCGCCAAACCCCAGACCCCAATCTCAAATCGTTCCACCTCCATCCCCAAAGCCTTAAGCAATCCGCGCTGGAGCTCCACAAGCACTTTGGTTCTACTTGTTCTACAGTACATATGACCCGTTTTTATCCCAGTAAAGAGGGCTCTCACAGCTGACACATGGCCTTTAAGTAGCTGTAGAATTGTACCTGCCCGTGGACCTGAGGGCTCTCGATCCTGAAGCCCTACACCCAGAACCCCTAGACCCCCAAACCACAAGCCCCTAAAGCCCAGATCTCCGATATGCACCCAAAAACCTTTAACTCCTAGCTTCCTAGATTTAGAGTTTGAGACCTTGAGGTTTTAAATCGGACTGTGGTCCCAAGTGCCGTAATTGAGGGCTATATTCCATGCCGAAGGCGCCAAACCCCGAGGGTACCAAGGACAACGCCCAGCCCAAAGCCCCAAAGTCCACGAAACCCCGCCAAACCCCAAACCTCCAAAGCTCTGACCCTAAACCTTCAACCTTCCCATATATCCCCTCAACCCTAAACCCCATAAACCTCCAAGTGAGTAGAATTTTATTTGGGGATATTATGGTACCCAATATAGAGTCAGATTATATCCCCCTTTTGGGGTATAGTATTTTATATAAGGAATATACTCTTACTAGGTTTAACCACAAAAAAAAACACTACTCAAGTGCAGGTCTATCAGGACTTGCTGGAAGCGGGAGTGGTGGATCCAGCCAAGGCATAGTCGGGTTTAGGGTATAGGGGATTGGCTTTAGGGTATAAGGTGTAGGGTACACAGGCTTTAGGGTGTAAGGTATAGGGTTTAGGGTTTAGGATTAGGGGTATAGGGTTTAGGTCAAGGATTTAGGGGTCAAGGATTAGGGTTTAGGGGTTTAGGGTTTAGGATTTAGAGCGCTTGGGGTTTAGGTTTTCGGGCTGAGAGTCTCGCTTACTGGTTCTTAGTAGGGAATAAGGGATCATACTCTCTGTATAACCTAATTTGTAACATATTCCTACATTTCCTACTGAAAACCAGTAAGTTCAGGGAATAATGACTGCCACAATCAGGATTGAATCGTTTGGGTTCAGGGTGTTTCGAGTTAAGGGTTTAGAGTTTTAAAGTTATGTTGTAGAGTTTGCGGCGTTCATTATATTGAGTTTGGGTTTTTGAGTTTCGGGTTTAAGTGTGAGGGCGTGGGGTATTCAGAGTTTTTGGCATAGGTGTTGCGTTCAAGTTTTGCGGCCTGGGGTATTCAGAGTTGAGGGTTTGGCCATGTTCATGCGTAAGGTGTTCAAAGTTTAGGGTCCAAGATTACGGCATTTCGAGTCCGGAGTTTAGTCTCTAGGTTTGCAGGGTCTTGGATATTTGGAATTCTGGGTCTGGAGTTTAGTGTGTAAGTTCAGGACTTGGGGATTTGTTTTGAGGGTTTTGGTATTCAAGATTTGAGGATTTGTTTTGGGTTGGGACTTCGCGAAGAGAGTCTCTAGGGTATGCAGGACTCTAAACCCTAAACGCTAAACCATAAATCCTAAACCCTAAACCCTCAACCGTATCCTCTTTGCGATGTGCATTAGAACCTCTCCGGATTCCCCAGCTGGTTGCGAGCTGAAGAACCCCAGCTGCCGACCCAAAGATCAGAATCGAATTGGAGCCCATAAAGCCCCAAACAAAAAATAATGTGTGTGTATATACATATATATATATGTATGCAGATATGCTAATTCACCGGAAAGCTAAATCGTGTATCCTTCAAGCCTTCGAACCGGAACCCTAAGTCCTTCGGCGTTGAGGGTTCTGTCTTCTGGTATATCCCACGCACAACCCTAAACACACCCAAAACAAGGTAGGACATCCACCGGTACAGATACCAGCTGATTTTCCCCATAAACCACATACAAATACGGGCATATGGGGACATATAGAAATTAGGGCTTAGGGCTCCTATGTAATTTCCTCTTGGGTTTGTCATGGTATCGTGGTCAGGGATGATATAGACACTGCATAGGAGGCTATGGGGATTCTAGATCCCCAGCCCCGCCCACCCTAATCCCCAAACCCTCCCCTAAGCCCTAAACCCTAGACCCATTTCAGAACCGGGTGAAGAAACATTCAGGTTATCAACAAAGGAGCTTTGATGCGAACCCCAAGCAGCCATAGTCTAAACTGATTGAAGGGGGAAGCTACATACAGTGTCTCATGAAGGCTACTGGCCTGCGGCTTGGGGAGGCAGTGACGAGGTCGGAGGGCCTCGGCCCAGACTGAGGAAGACAGGCAGCCTGAGACCAACCAGAACTAGACCAGCCGTGCCCTTTACAGCTTCTTTGACAGATGCAAGAACTGCCGCAGCCAGGACGTCGTGGAGTGGGCAGACGTCAAAGCGGTGCGGCCAAGAAGCTGGAAATCCTGGAGCGCAAGCAGCGCCGGGCAGCTGAAGTGCGCGGCGGCGGTCCGGGACGAGGAGTCGGTTGCAGGCTTGAGAGGAGAATGGGGAGAGCTTGCAAGACGTTGTCTGGCAGGCGGCGACAGCTCTGGCTGGCTGCGCTGCGGACGAAGGAAGCCGCGCGAAAGAGAGCCTGGCAGGGGCTTCCAGAGCCAGAGCTACCTTGCCTGCCGGCTTCGGTGCGTTCGCCCTGCTCGACGACCCCGGGCTTACTTAGTTTAGGGTTTAGGGCTTAGGGCTTAGGGGATAAAGATGGCCAATCCTGGCTCCGATTCAAAGGCCCTCAAACTGTTGATCTTTGACTCCAATCCCTAAGCTCCCAATTCACCCTGATTTTCAAACTTCCGAGATCAAGGGCTTATCTGCTTAGCTAGACCCACACGCTGCACCCATAAATCTGTTCAAGTTAGAGTGTACTCAGACGAGCTCACCCTCTATTGTAGTTGTGATTGGGAATATGTCCCAGAACGGCGTTAACTCAAGATTCCGATGTTTTTAACCTTAAAGCCCTGAACCCTATGAATTCTTCTTAGTTTGTGCATAAATTCAGGTGGTTATCAACTCAGTGGTCAATGCGGCTTCCATTGCCGGCATGGCCTTGAGCTGAGGGTGGCAAGGATTAGGGCTAGGGTATAGGATTATGGACTCAGGTTTTTCTGCTTTTGTGGTAGGAGAACAAGAGGCAAAATACTAATAATGTATGCACCACCTGAGCAACGGTCCTAAAAGAGGCGAACTTCAAAAGCCGTCTTTAAGCATGCATCCTTTGCCACAGTTTCCTCATTATCCTCATATGCCGGGATTCTAGGGGCTGCTTGGACCTCAAACGTAGGTAGCTCAATGGCTCAAAATCCCAGGCTTAGCATTCACCCCTAAATCCCTAAACCCTTTCAAATCGGTCTTTGAGGCCAGCGGCTGGCGTCTAGAGTGTTCAGGTTTAGGATGAGAGGGTGCGTGGAGGTAAGGGTGACAGAGTGTCCAATGATAGAGATTGTTTTGGTTTAGGGGAAAGAGAAATGGCATTGTAGTAAGTCATCATGAAGCTCCGAATACAAGCGTGTCGTTTGAAACCCAAACTAATCAAGGTATTCAAATCCCAAAAGAACATGATGAAATGTGTTAGGAGACCCAAGATAATTCAAACCCATTATTAGGGTTATATAGGGTCCCTTTCAAAAGGTTGTAGGAAGGTTTGGGGGTTCGGATCCACGGTCCAAAACAATGACAACAACCCCATTATGACTGCATTTATAGCAAATGAGCTCACCCTTGATTGTATTTGCTATTGAGACTTTTCTATTGAGAATGTAGCCCAAGACTGCCGTCATTCAGGATTGCTACTTATTGTCTAGTTTGCCCAGCAGGTAGCTACGAGTGCATTCATCGTTGGGAATGCCTGTAACCATGCGGACGTGGGGGAGCAAATATAGTGTCATAGGGGAATAGATAGAAATTAGTATAGGGGGAGTTCCCGAAAGTGAGGTCCCATTGCCGCACCCTTAAATCTTAGGTTCCGTAATTTAATCTATAACCAAACCGAGGTCCTCACGACTGATGCCATCGTTACAGACCTGCCCACCACGCCTCCACCTACACCTGCCGGTGGTGGCATGGGTGGAGGTATGGGCGGCATGGGCGGTATGGGCGGAATGCGGGCGCCTGAGAGCTTAGTGCTGGTTTCGTGCACTGAAGTATGTGCCGGCTGTTACTGTTACAGGGGAATGAAAGAGTCGAAAAGGAAATGGAAACTGATTTTTCAAGGGTGTATACGGACGTGAGATCCATTGCTGCATTTCCCACTAACAGCCAGAGTGAGGACATGAGATGATTCTCAGAGTCCATGACTGAAGAGCTCTTGGATGTTAAGCCTGACACAACCGCTGAGTGGGTTAAATTGCGAACGCCCGAAACCCTAGACCCCGACGAGGGCATAGAGGCATTGCAATCGGATTGCAGGATTCGTCTTTTACGGGCTTAGAGATTCGGATTTCAGGGTATCGTTTCAATAAGTTCGCCTTCAGTTTTGCAAGCAGCGTTTGGAGTTTAGGATTAAAGGTTTAGCGTGACTTAGGTGTACATCGTACCTATTTGTTCTTACCTCGCCCCTAACAACAGCTATAATTGTTACAAAGTGAGTGAGCCCAGGACCCTACGGAAAGAATCGTTTAGGAAACCGCAGAGGGATCAGTACAAGAAAGTCTTGTGTGAGCAACCAACAAAAACCGTTTGTTCACCAATTTCCCGAGTGGACACGGGTGCCATGTTTTTGATTAGTGCTTTGCCTGAAACTTGGGGTCAGCCTCACCAACTTTCTATGCTAGAGACTCTGCAAATGCCTAGAAAAACAGATTCCGTCCTGAACCCTCCAGCCAATCACAATCAGGTCTTTCTATTTTCCAAATTATGCAACAGGCGGGTGTTAGGCTGCAGGGGTTTAGGGTCATTCAAACCCAGATGTTTCGTCCAAAGGAAACACACATGCACACTTAGCTGCTGTCCTCCTCCCACATGGGCATCTCTACAAAATGGTGTCTTTTTGTGTACGTCCCTGCAATAATACTCATTTTGGGCTGTCCTGAAAAGGGATCTGTACAAGTTTTGAAGCGCACTTCTAGAGGATTGCTGAAAGGCATGGTTGTGAAGCATGGTCGTGAAACATTTTCATGCTGTGTTCATTAAATCTAGAGTGCTGCCAATGCATCTTCGACGACTTCAACACTACACCCAAACCTGCATGGGTACTTTGAATCCACTTGAACATCTAAGTCTAACCAAGTCTAACCCACAACCACACATTATGAGACTGAGGAGGCTCATGCTTTGGGTTACAAGTACAGGCAGAAGTAGGTTATGAGTACCCAGGGACCTCCAAGAGCACCAAAACCATAAACCGTAAACTTCAAATCCCAAATCCCAAGCCCTACATCCCCAAGTTCTAACTCCCAAGCCCTAAGCCCCAAGCCCGTAACCCTTCCTCGGAGTACCTGTCAATCTCACCATGCCGTCCCAGGTACTAGCTTCCTGAAGGCAGGGCAAGGCTCTTGGGTCCAGCGGCTTGATGCTCACCAGGGTTTAGGATTTAGGGTCTTTTGGGCTGAAGGTTTAGGGTTTAGGGGTTTAGGGTTGAGGGGTTTAGGGTTTTTGGGTTTAAGGTTTAGGGTTCAAGGTTGCTGTTTAGGCTCAACCTTGAATGGAACCCCTACGGAGAGCATGGGCAGTGCTTATACCTGGGGGCTGCGGGCGTAAGGATTCCCGAACGTTGCTGTAGGGCTTAGGACTTGTGGGCTTGGGGGTTTAGCGTTGGGGTTCAGGGGTAATTACTTCTAACCTACATATAACTATGCGTACAACAAAACTATATATAGGCGCCTCTATGTCCCCAAAGAGGGGTATGAGCACTGTTACAAGTAAGAGGTAGCTCCCATGGATCCCCCTGCGATTCCCTGTTTAGGGTTTAGGGTTTATAGGATTTAGGGGCCTTTTGGATGTGGGGTTTATATGGCTTAGCCACCGGGCTGAACTCTACACATCTAGGGTGCCAGGACCCCAACATGCTAATACCAAGGGCATGTGCAACCATAGCTGCCTCCGATAGGTCCACGGTAATCTGTTAATTTTGGAGCCTCAAAGCCCTAAACCTCACATGAGGTATGGTGGTTCCCCGGAACTGCTTAACCCTAAACCCTCAACCCTAAACCAACCCTAAACCCCTAAACCCTGAATCCTGAATCTGCAACCTTGTCTTTCTAGGGAAAAAAGGTTCGATTGGAATCTCGATGCTTAAACCTCCTTCACATCGAATGGGAGACAGAAATCCCAAATCATGATGGTGTAGGGGTATAGGGTTTTTTGGTAACCCCAACCCCCTTATTGAATAAGACTCTTTGTAGGATGGAGGAGGTATAGAATATTAAATGGTGGGGCAAGTTAAGCTTTCGAGGGAGACCATGCATTCCAATCCTACTTCACATGCAACCAAATGCGAAAAGACTTCGCGCAGCAGTTGAACCGCTTTCCTTGGGAGGCCCAAGCCCGGAACCCATAAACCTTAAGCCGGATTTAGGGTTTAGGGTCCCGTTTCCTCGCGAGAATCACGAGTCACCCGTCTAGCTGACTCTGTATTGCCCTCATAGGGATCTATTTGCTACCAATTCAATCCCGACAAGCTCCTACTGTTGATGCGAAACACCTGCATCACGTTAGATGACTATCTTACGATCATTCCCAATGTATAAACCTTTCGCTGGGAGGCGTCTATGCTTCAAAGTTCTGACCCCTGGCTTTGCGCCAAATGCGTACCAGCTATGGGAGAAGTTTTGTTCCTGTGAAGGCAGAATACAAGCCTTGACAAGGAAATACCCCGCAGTTAGTCCAAGCAAGGAAATCCTGAACCACTGATTCTTGTAGTCTGCCTGCCACACAAAACATTTTGACTGCCTTCTTGTCTGCCCTACCCAGCATTTTGGAGAATGGCAGAATGTGATGTGTGATCTTGAAGTTACTTGGGATGTCCTGCAGACAGACGTCAGTTATGCGTGCTAGACGTGTGAGTGACCCAAAGACTCTTACAGCCGCTTTTTGGTCACCAAGGTGCAGTTTGCGGCAAAAGTTATCGGGTTTGCGGTTTAGGATTATGGTTTAGGCCAGGTGCTCAGAACGCTTGGGCATACTCAAGGAGGGAGTAAGTACAGATAGGTTGGCAGCTGTCACTGATCTTTGCTATGATCCGCTTGGTGCTCATCATTGCCTGAAGGCATAGCAAAAGGCGGTTAGCGGTATACATGCGCCCCTGCGTTTTATTAGTGTGTACAAAAACGCTACATAAACTTGTACTTCTGAGACGCAGGTATAGCTTCGAACCGCAGTAGATTCACATCGTCATCATTTTACACGTATAGCTTTCTCAAACTGCCTCTGGCTGGGAAGTGTCTAGGACATGGCATGGCTAGCTCGTTCTCCNNTATGTTGGCTAGTTCGTTCTCAGTGCCATTGCAGCAGCTAGGGAAAATCAAAAACTAAGACACACACGAAAGCACACAAAAATCGAATTTCCCGACCAAATCCTCAAAGAGCCCCAGGAATAGTTATCTCATTTGTTATGTTGTGTTTGTTGTTGTTGTTGTT